GACAAAGACAGAGCATCGGTTGGTGTGAACAAGGGGGGAAGGGAAGAAGGGCAAGGGGCAAGGAGGGTGTTTAGCGTGCAAGGGATGGGGGCGGATGGGGGAGTGTGGTGTGGGGGATGATGAGGGAGGGTGGGGGGAGTGAAGACGGAGGAACGAAGGACGATAGTAAGAGGGTGATTAGAACGAATTCCTTATAGGAAGGTGTCTCGGAAAAGAATCAGATGCTGATTGCGGCTTGATGGCGTAACGCGGTCAGAGAGCGGTTTGGTAGATAGTGGGGGGGAGGTAGAGGTGGGTAGAAAAGCAAGGGTGAGGTTGACAGGTGGAAAGGGGAAGTGGAACAGGAGGGACGAGTGGAGAGGAAGTAAGGTAAACGGGAAAAGGAAAATGCGAGTTTCCAGGAACATTTGCACGAGGATACTACCAGTGACAAGGACAGATGAGAATATTCTGGGGAATTGCTGCGCAGTGCTGTTTTGAGACGTCTCAAAACAACACTTTTATCACCTGCGCAGTGCCACTCACAAGAGGATTCCGAGAGTGAAGTTGCACTTCGGCCAGAAGTAGATCCGGTCTCTTAACGAGTTCAGCTTCACGACTGGCATGCCTTCGAACGCGTACGCCATGCAGGCCAGCGACTCGAACATGTTCTGGCTCAGCGAGTCGCCAATAAACGCGATGCGACGATTCGCCACGCGTTTGCACAGATTCGACCGCGTCACTCTGGGAATACCGCCACCGCACGAACTCGTTTGCGAATCTTTATCCGGATCCCCGTTACCACGCGGCGAAACAGTTTCGCGAAGCTTCCAACGAAGTTTTGCGAAGCCTTTACCCGGCCGGCCGTATTTGCTACACTTGCTGGTTTCGCGCGCGAGAGGGCACGCGTCTGTTTCGTACAGCGGCCACGACGAATCCTCTTCCCACGCGCCGTCGTCCAAGTCGCACAGAGACGACGACGGCGCCGTCGACGGCGACGACGACGAAGAGGGCGACGAGGGTGACGGCGACGACGACTGCGACCCGCCGGCGGCGGCAACATTGCTAACTCGGACGTCCATCCCATCAGCCTCATACATGTCCGGACGCCCGATGACGCTCGGGATAATGGGACGAATGACCGTATCCGACGCGGTAGCTTGCACGACATCGGCCGTATAAATACGGCTGTTCTGTATTAGATAATTTTCTTGGCCCTGCGTCGTCGGCGGCGCCCTTTGCGGCGTCCATTGCGGCGTCCTTTGCGGCGCTTCTAGCGGCTTTCCCAGCTGCGGCGATTGCTGTGATTCACCTGCTGGCCTCTTAGAAGCTGTTGCTGACTCCTCCTGAGGTGGATTCTGAGTTGTCTCAGAAGATTTCTCCTGATGCGACTCAGAAGGCGCCTCAAGAATCGGTTCGGTCGCCGGTCTCTCCAGGACAGTGCCTCGAGATGTCGACACGCAACGGTCGATTAATGCGGAGAAAAGAAAGAGCGAAAGCAAGAACGCTATAGTACTGGATTTTCTTGAGATTTTGAACCTCCTCCGCATGATTCCACTAGTAATGTGGCGACACTGAGGATTTTGAACGCGACTGCGAGTGTCCTGCGTTAGTTATAGGAGCTGAGTACGGCTCGGACATAGGTGGATGTAACTGTCTGTATTGTAGCGAGAGCGAATGTGAGTGAACCACAACTAGACTACGGGATCGAGTAGGGAAATGGCAGCAGCAGGCAGCACACGCAGCACTTGATGCGTGATGCGGGTATCTAATAAAGCTGGGAAGCAGATATGTCTGAACTAAAATGGAGGTGGCGCAGTTCTGCGAATTCCCGAATCGCTGATGCGCGAAACGAAACTCGATGAAGTGTGTCGCGTGACTTAGGTCTGCTGTTTGAACTCGGTAAGTTACCCGAGCTCAGTTTCGTGAACCTCGTTCCCCTGTCGCGAGCTGTCTTGCACCACTGGCTGCCACATGTCTCGGGCCTCGGCTGACGGGCTGATGAGTTGGCGGTCAAGAAGTGTGGGTCTGGGTGTTGAGTTGGATTGGTGTGGTGTGCAAGTGTGGCGATAGTGGCGATTCGTCGTGAGGAGTTTCAACCAATTACGTGGCTATGGTGGTGAATTTTAGTGTGCAAAGCCTTTGCCGAAACCATTTACTACAAAAACCTTCTCAGACTGAGTGCGAGAAGCAGGTGTGAGTTCATAAGCACTACAGAAGAAGGATTGTGGGTCTGCCAGTGAGAAGTTTAGAGTTTCCAGTCAGTACTGAAGTACTGTGTCTGGAAATTAGACAGTAGGTTTGTTGATGACGAGAGGAGTGACGAGACCCCCAAGAATGGGAGTTGTGGGGAACGCAGGGGCTCAGCGGGTCATAAACCCGAAAGAAATATCATTGTTTCAGAAGAACAAAAACAGAGTGGGAAAGGTATGGTTGAAAATGACCCACAAACGTTAAGGAAGGCTCTAAGTGGATTGATTAATGCAGGGATCTCTGTGATTATAGACTCTTCGGTTTGTACCCTTTAATATCGACCTTCTGCTGAACATTAACCTTTTGTTTTTGGCTTGTCGGAACCCCGGGTCAGGTCTACGTACCATTGCACCATTGAATTCCCGAGTGCCCAGAAACGAGACTCGTACGTAGTTCCATGAAGTTGACCAACCACCCAAGAGAGTGTTTCGATACAAGTATGCGACCCAGGGCAGCCAAGGTTCCCTTGATGCAGCTTGCAAAGAAGGCGCTGTTGGCAAATATCGCAACTGTACGGTGTGTATGGAAGTGTAGCTGGGTATCTTTCACCTATATCGAGTACAGTCTAGTTGTTGCTTGCCAGTTCAGCAGGCTGCCGGCTCAAACTGCTGGACCCCAGCATCTGGGCCCAGTTCGGTAGGCATTATGGCCATTTTCGCCATTATGGGCATTTTTAACGGGCCCCCAAAAAATGGCGCTTGGGCATTTCCAGAAACAACTTCGAAACTGGACTGTAGCTGCAGTGCACCTTCGGAAAAATGGTATGAGTGTTCGGTTGGCATTAATTGGGTGTAGATTGATGGCATCAATCGAGATTCCGGGTTTCGCAGAAGTTGTTCGAAAGTTGCATTGATGGATCGCGTCCTCATGTGATTGGCTGGCATATTTGACCAGTCACCTTTGATTGCCCCGAATCACTGATACCCCGCATGGTGCGGGGCCTCGAGGCCGCATGGTGCGATGGATCAGAAAATGGGCACTTTGCCATTGAAACTGGGTTCGTGGAAGATTCGGGCAATTGAAAACGCCTGCAAAAAAAGGGTGTTCGGGAGGCATTCCATTATTGTCTGGCTCGGCGATGATCCGCTTATATCGAGCCAAGATAACCCTTCACGCGCTTATCAAAGAAGGTTCCAGAGTGATCGGTTTACTGTAGCCCATCCGCCGAGGCCCTTTTTTTAATGCCTACCGAACTGGGCCCTGAGTGACCATCACTGACCACCACGCACTCACCACCACTTCGCACCGTCATCACCACTTCGCACAGTCAACACCTCCGGAGGGAGGGGAAGGGGGCTCAGAACGGTTCTACACGGTTGAAAACGTTTTCCAGGATCTACCGCTTGGCACCGTGACGAAACGAATCAGACCGCAAAGAACGCACAGAAGACATACGACCTGTTATCACCACCACCAACCCAAACCCAAACCAATCCCAAAAATGCGCAGCAGCCAAAGCATAGCTAGGGCCCAGTTCGGCAGGCATTAAAAAAACGGTTTCCCCGGTTAGGCTACAGTAAACCGACCACCCTGGAACCTTCTTTGATAAGCGCGTGAAAGGTTATCTAGGCTCGATATAAGCGGAACATCGCCGAACCAGACAATAATGGAATGCCAGCCGAACACCCCCTTTGACGCTGGCATTTTCTACCAGAGGAGCAAATGGTCCATTTTCTGATACGCCGCACCATACTGCCTCGAGACCCCCCCCCACACGGGGTATCAGTGATTCGGGGCAATCACACATTGCCCTGACAAAAACAAATCCCGGTCTTTCATGCCCCTCATTTTGCCCGCTGGGAAATCGCACATCACCAACACACCTTCACTAACACATCGAACGCACAGATTCTCTTGCCCGAATTTTTTCGACGTCCACCACTGGTTTGCATGGCTGCCCGTACTGCCAGTACAGTGATTCTGAGCTCCATCAGCGCAGCTGCATGCGAGCTTCTGCGAAGTGTCATTTCCGGTTGATGCCGTTAATCCAGGCCCATTTAATGCCAACCGAACAGTCGGGCCCATTCTTCCGAAGTTAAACTGCAGCTACAGTCTGACTTCGCAGCTGTTTCGAGGGGCCATTTTTTGGGGGCCCGTTAAAAATGCCCAAAATGGCCATAATGCCTGCCGAACTGGGCCTAGCACGCAGCAGTACAACAATATTACTGTTCTTCGACGTGTGAGGTGCAGTGATGTATGAGAGGCTGTGAAGAATCCATCAGGACGTGTCACGTGTGTTTTTCCAGGAGAACCGGACGTAAAAAGGACTGTCAGGTATTACACACATGAAATAATTAGTTAGCGCGGGACGCCCATTCTCCACCTCGTGCTTGTGACGAAATGTCTTCACCTGCTTCCTGAAACCTGGCCCTTCCGTCAACGAAACATTCCCGAAAGCTCAATCATGCACTTGGCATAGTATCTGTCTGCCAGCCCGTATTTCGCACAACATCGTGTCGCGACATACTGACGCACTCACATCACTAAGAAACATACGTTAAAATAATTATCGTATTATCATTATCATTACTATTATCTCGACGGCTGTCTCCACAATGAAGCCGCTAAGCGTTCACATGCCGTCGGAATACGTAGAAGACGAGGAGCCTTCGCCGGCATTTCCACAAACCAGCCTAATCCGTCGAGACCGGGACGACGAGGAATCCCATTATGGTAACAATACCAGGGTAAATCCCCCGGAGCCGCCGACAAAAGCCTGTCTAATCGGCCTAACGATCTTCGTCTGTCTCTTAGTCCTCCTCGCGGTCCTAATCGCCATCTGGGGCTTCAGACCAGCGGCTCCTGCGGCGGGAGACGCGGCGATGCAGGCGGAGGGGAAGCAGGTCGACGCGAGCGCAAATGGCGGCGCAAATGGCGGCGCAACTAGCGGCGGCTCGGGGAGCGCGGGGAGCACGGGGGGAAACGGTCAGGCCCCCCCGCCTGATCCGCCATTGCACGACTACAAGGCGGCTTTGAACCTGTGCCTCGATTTCTTCGACGCACAGAAGAGCGGCGACCCGGGGCTGTGAGTGTTTGTAACACCTCGCTACCCACTGGGTCAAAACGAGGGTGTTATTTGGCGCAGCGGAGTGCCCTTAACACAGCCCACAGGCGTTACACTCGTCCCCCCCTGGTGCCAACGTCCCCGTTGGCCCTGGACTTCAGGAAGTCGGCCCCCTGCCGCTGGGACCTAGATTTCGCAGTGCTGCTGGCTGCGACTTCGCTGGTTGCTCAGGCCAGCGGAGGATCGTTCGCTGGGTTCGAGCTGGTTACAACCGCACTTCAGTTCTCGCCAAAGGCGGAAAGTGTGGTCCAGCCGGGATTCGAACCCTAGGCTCTGATACCAAATGTAACACCTCGCTACCCACTGGGTCAAAACGAGGGTGTTATTTGGCGCAGCGGAGTGCCCTTAACACAGCCCACAGGCGTTACAGTGTTGCTGCTGAATGGTGAGCGCTGTGAGTGTTGCTGCTGAATGGTGAGCGCTGTGAGTGTTGCTGCTGAATGGTGAGCGCTGTGAGTGTTGCTGCTGAATGGTGAGCGCTGTGAGTGTTGCTGCTGAATGGTGAGGGCTGTGAGTGTTGCTGCTGAATGGTGAGCGCTGTGAGTGTTGCTGCTGAATGGTGAGCGCTGTGAGTGTTGCTGCTGAATGGTGAGCGCTGTGAGTGTTGCTGCTGAATGGTGAGCGCTGTGAGTGTTGCTGCTGAATGGTGAGCGCTGTGAGTGTTGCTGCTGAATGGTGAGCGCTGTGAGTGTTGCTGCTGAATGGTGAGCGCTGTGAGTGTTGCTGCTGAATGGTGAGCGCTGTGAGTGTTGCTGCTGAATGGTGAGGGCTGTGAGTGTTGCTGCTGAATGGTGAGCGCTGTGAGTGTTGCTGCTGAATGGTGAGCGCTGTGAGTGTTGCTGCTGAATGGTGAGCGCTGTGAGTGTTGCTGCTGAATGGTGAGCGCTGTGAGTGTTGCTGCTGAATGGTGAGGCGCTGTGAGTGTTGCTGCTGAATGGTGAGCGCTGTGAGTGTTGCTGCTGAATGGTGAGCGCTGTGAGTGTTGCTGCTGAATGGTGAGCGCTGTGAGTGTTGCTGCTGAATGGTGAGCGCTGTGAGTGTTGCTGCTGAATGGTGAGCGCTGTGAGTGTTGCTGCTGAATGGTGAGCGCTGTGAGTGTTGCTGCTGAATGGTGAGCGCTGTGAGTGTTGCTGCTGAATGGTGAGGGCTGTGAGTGTTGCTGCTGAATGGTGAGCGCTGTGAGTGTTGCTGCTGAATGGTGAGCGCTGTGAGTGTTGCTGCTGAATGGTGAGCGCTGTGAGTGTTGCTGCTGAATGGTGAGCGCTGTGAGTGTTGCTGCTGAATGGTGAGCGCTGTGAGTGTTGCTGCTGAATGGTGAGGGCTGTGAGTGTTGCTGCTGAATGGTGGGGGCTGTGAGTGTTGCTGCTGAATGGTGAGGGCTGTGAGTGTTGCTGCTGAATGGTGAGCGCTGTGAGTGTTGCTGCTGAATGGTGAGCGCTGTGAGTGTTGCTGCTGAATGGTGAGCGCTGTGAGTGTTGCTGCTGAATGGTGAGGGCTGTGAGTGTTGCTGCTGAATGGTGAGCGCTGTGAGTGTTGCTGCTGAATGGTGAGCGCTGTGAGTGTTGCTGCTGAATGGTGAGCGCTGTGAGTGTTGCTGCTGAATGGTGAGCGCTGTGAGTGTTGCTGCTGAATGGTGAGCGCTGTGAGTGTTGCTGCTGAATGGTGAGCGCTGTGAGTGTTGCTGCTGAATGGTGAGCGCTGTGAGTGTTGCTGCTGAATGGTGAGCGCTGTGAGTGTTGCTGCTGAATGGTGAGGGCTGTGAGTGTTGCTGCTGAATGGTGAGCGCTGTGAGTGTTGCTGCTGAATGGTGAGCGCTGTGAGTGTTGCTGCTGAATGGTGAGCGCTGTGAGTGTTGCTGCTGAATGGTGAGCGCTGTGAGTGTTGCTGCTGAATGGTGAGGGCTGTGAGTGTTGCTGCTGAATGGTGAGCGCTGTGAGTGTTGCTGCTGAATGGTGAGCGCTGTGAGTGTTGCTGCTGAATGGTGAGCGCTGTGAGTGTTGCTGCTGAATGGTGAGCGCTGTGAGTGTTGCTGCTGAATGGTGAGCGCTGTGAGTGTTGCTGCTGAATGCTGAGCGCTGTGAGTGTTGCTGCTGAATGGTGAGGGCTGTGAGTGTTGCTGCTGAATGGTGAGGGCTGTGAGTGTTGCTGCTGAATGGTGAGGGCTGTGAGTGTTGCTGCTGAATGGTGAGCGCTGTGAGTGTTGCTGCTGAATGGTGAGCGCTGTGAGTGTTGCTGCTGAATGGTGAGCGCTGTGAGTGTTGCTGCTGAATGGTGAGGGCTGTGAGTGTTGCTGCTGAATGGTGAGCGCTGTGAGTGTTGCTGCTGAATGGTGAGCGCTGTGAGTGTTGCTGCTGAATGGTGAGCGCTGTGAGTGTTGCTGCTGAATGGTGAGCGCTGTGAGTGTTGCTGCTGAATGGTGAGGGCTGTGAGTGTTGCTGCTGAATGGTGAGCGCTGTGAGTGTTGCTGCTGAATGGTGAGCGCTGTGAGTGTTGCTGCTGAATGGTGAGCGCTGTGAGTGTTGCTGCTGAATGGTGAGCGCTGTGAGTGTTGCTGCTGAATGGTGAGCGCTGTGAGTGTTGCTGCTGAATGGTGAGCGCTGTGAGTGTTGCTGCTGAATGGTGAGCGCTGTGAGTGTTGCTGCTGAATGGTGAGCGCTGTGAGTGTTGCTGCTGAATGGTGAGGGCTGTGAGTGTTGCTGCTGAATGGTGAGCGCTGTGAGTGTTGCTGCTGAATGGTGAGCGCTGTGAGTGTTGCTGCTGAATGGTGAGCGCTGTGAGTGTTGCTGCTGAATGGTGAGCGCTGTGAGTGTTGCTGCTGAATGGTGAGCGCTGTGAGTGTTGCTGCTGAATGGTGAGCGCTGTGAGTGTTGCTGCTGAATGGTGAGCGCTGTGAGTGTTGCTGCTGAATGGTGAGGGCTGTGAGTGTTGCTGCTGAATGGTGGGGGCTGTGAGTGTTGCTGCTGAATGGTGAGGGCTGTGAGTGTTGCTGCTGAATGGTGAGCGCTGTGAGTGTTGCTGCTGAATGGTGAGCGCTGTGAGTGTTGCTGCTGAATGGTGAGCGCTGTGAGTGTTGCTGCTGAATGGTGAGGGCTGTGAGTGTTGCTGCTGAATGGTGAGCGCTGTGAGTGTTGCTGCTGAATGGTGAGCGCTGTGAGTGTTGCTGCTGAATGGTGAGCGCTGTGAGTGTTGCTGCTGAATGGTGAGCGCTGTGAGTGTTGCTGCTGAATGGTGAGCGCTGTGAGTGTTGCTGCTGAATGGTGAGCGCTGTGAGTGTTGCTGCTGAATGGTGAGCGCTGTGAGTGTTGCTGCTGAATGGTGAGCGCTGTGAGTGTTGCTGCTGAATGGTGAGGGCTGTGAGTGTTGCTGCTGAATGGTGAGCGCTGTGAGTGTTGCTGCTGAATGGTGAGCGCTGTGAGTGTTGCTGCTGAATGGTGAGCGCTGTGAGTGTTGCTGCTGAATGGTGAGCGCTGTGAGTGTTGCTGCTGAATGGTGAGCGCTGTGAGTGTTGCTGCTGAATGCTGAGCGCTGTGAGTGTTGCTGCTGAATGGTGAGGGCTGTGAGTGTTGCTGCTGAATGGTGAGGGCTGTGAGTGTTGCTGCTGAATGGTGAGGGCTGTGAGTGTTGCTGCTGAATGGTGAGCGCTGTGAGTGTTGCTGCTGAATGGTGAGCGCTGTGAGTGTTGCTGCTGAATGGTGAGCGCTGTGAGTGTTGCTGCTGAATGGTGAGGGCTGTGAGTGTTGCTGCTGAATGGTGAGCGCTGTGAGTGTTGCTGCTGAATGGTGAGCGCTGTGAGTGTTGCTGCTGAATGGTGAGCGCTGTGAGTGTTGCTGCTGAATGGTGAGCGCTGTGAGTGTTGCTGCTGAATGGTGAGGGCTGTGAGTGTTGCTGCTGAATGGTGAGCGCTGTGAGTGTTGCTGCTGAATGGTGAGCGCTGTGAGTGTTGCTGCTGAATGGTGAGCGCTGTGAGTGTTGCTGCTGAATGGTGAGCGCTGTGAGTGTTGCTGCTGAATGGTGAGCGCTGTGAGTGTTGCTGCTGAATGGTGAGCGCTGTGAGTGTTGCTGCTGAATGGTGAGCGCTGTGAGTGTTGCTGCTGAATGGTGAGCGCTGTGAGTGTTGCTGCTGAATGGTGAGGGCTGTGAGTGTTGCTGCTGAATGGTGAGCGCTGTGAGTGTTGCTGCTGAATGGTGAGCGCTGTGAGTGTTGCTGCTGAATGGTGAGCGCTGTGAGTGTTGCTGCTGAATGGTGAGCGCTGTGAGTGTTGCTGCTGAATGGTGAGCGCTGTGAGTGTTGCTGCTGAATGGTGAGCGCTGTGAGTGTTGCTGCTGAATGGTGAGGGCTGTGAGTGTTGCTGCTGAATGGTGGGGGCTGTGAGTGTTGCTGCTGAATGGTGAGGGCTGTGAGTGTTGCTGCTGAATGGTGAGCGCTGTGAGTGTTGCTGCTGAATGGTGAGCGCTGTGAGTGTTGCTGCTGAATGGTGAGCGCTGTGAGTGTTGCTGCTGAATGGTGAGGGCTGTGAGTGTTGCTGCTGAATGGTGAGCGCTGTGAGTGTTGCTGCTGAATGGTGAGCGCTGTGAGTGTTGCTGCTGAATGGTGAGCGCTGTGAGTGTTGCTGCTGAATGGTGAGCGCTGTGAGTGTTGCTGCTGAATGGTGAGCGCTGTGAGTGTTGCTGCTGAATGGTGAGCGCTGTGAGTGTTGCTGCTGAATGGTGAGCGCTGTGAGTGTTGCTGCTGAATGGTGAGCGCTGTGAGTGTTGCTGCTGAATGGTGAGGGCTGTGAGTGTTGCTGCTGAATGGTGGGGGCTGTGAGTGTTGCTGCTGAATGGTGAGGGCTGTGAGTGTTGCTGCTGAATGGTGAGCGCTGTGAGTGTTGCTGCTGAATGGTGAGCGCTGTGAGTGTTGCTGCTGAATGGTGAGCGCTGTGAGTGTTGCTGCTGAATGGTGAGGGCTGTGAGTGTTGCTGCTGAATGGTGAGCGCTGTGAGTGTTGCTGCTGAATGGTGAGCGCTGTGAGTGTTGCTGCTGAATGGTGAGCGCTGTGAGTGTTGCTGCTGAATGGTGAGCGCTGTGAGTGTTGCTGCTGAATGGTGAGCGCTGTGAGTGTTGCTGCTGAATGGTGAGCGCTGTGAGTGTTGCTGCTGAATGGTGAGCGCTGTGAGTGTTGCTGCTGAATGGTGAGGGCTGTGAGTGTTGCTGCTGAATGGTGAGCGCTGTGAGTGTTGCTGCTGAATGGTGAGCGCTGTGAGTGTTGCTGCTGAATGGTGAGCGCTGTGAGTGTTGCTGCTGAATGGTGAGCGCTGTGAGTGTTGCTGCTGAATGGTGAGCGCTGTGAGTGTTGCTGCTGAATGGTGAGCGCTGTGAGTGTTGCTGCGGAATGGTGAGGGCTGTGAGTGTTGCTGCTGAATGGTGAGGGCTGTGTGTGTTGCTGCTGAATGGTGAGGGCTGTGAGTGTTGCTGCTGAATGGTGAGCGCTGTGAGTGTTGCTGCTGAATGGTGAGCGCTGTGAGTGTTGCTGCTGAATGGTGAGCGCTGTGAGTGTTGCTGCTGAATGGTGAGGGCTGTGAGTGTTGCTGCTGAATGGTGAGCGCTGTGAGTGTTGCTGCTGAATGGTGAGCGCTGTGAGTGTTGCTGCTGAATGGTGAGCGCTGTGAGTGTTGCTGCTGAATGGTGAGCGCTGTGAGTGTTGCTGCTGAATGGTGAGCGCTGTGAGTGTTGCTGCTGAATGGTGAGGGCTGTGAGTGTTGCTGCTGAATGGTGAGCGCTGTGAGTGTTGCTGCTGAATGGTGAGCGCTGTGAGTGTTGCTGCTGAATGGTGAGCGCTGTGAGTGTTGCTGCTGAATGGTGAGCGCTGTGAGTGTTGCTGCTGAATGGTGAGCGCTGTGAGTGTTGCTGCTGAATGGTGAGGGCTGTGAGTGTTGCTGCTGAATGGTGAGCGCTGTGAGTGTTGCTGCTGAATGGTGAGCGCTGTGAGTGTTGCTGCTGAATGGTGAGCGCTGTGAGTGTTGCTGCTGAATGGTGAGCGCTGTGAGTGTTGCTGCTGAATGGTGAGCGCTGTGAGTGTTGCTGCTGAATGGTGAGCGCTGTGAGTGTTGCTGAGTGTTGAGGCTGCTCAATGCGGTCAGGCTCCCCCGCCGGATCCACCATTGCACGACTACAAGGCGGCTTTGAGCATGTGCCTCGATTTCCTCGACGCACAGAAGAGCGGCGACCCGGGGCTGTTTTTGAGTCCACTCAAAAGCGACCTGACACTGTGAGCGTTGCTGAGTCTTGAGCCGTGTTGAAAGGCCTTAACGTCTCACAAAATGTTTCAACGTCTCAAAGGCTTCACCCCTGTGCGTTGACTTCTGCGCGGAGGAGCGGCGACCTGGCGGCGCTGTGAGTAAAGAAGGATGCGCCGCTGTTAGTCCTGTTCAGTTATGACACAGGTATGCATCGCTTTCTAAGTTCCAACTTCCAATCGGCTTCAATAACTTACAAAGCTTCCATGTCTCAAAAAACTTCTCCGTCTCCTCACATTTCGCATCCCTCCGCGCCTCTGTTCCCCCCCGCCTGCTCACCCGCCTCTCTCCTACACCTCTTACACCCCCCCTTTCCCCCTCTGCAGCACCCCCCACCCCCCCTGGCGCAACAGCTCGCATGTGCAGGATGGGAGCGCAGTGGGGCGAGACCTGGCAGGGGGCTACTATGGGGATAATAAAGCAGATGGAGTAGCATTGCAAGTTCTCCCTTACATCTCCTCCCTCGCCCTAGCTCTTTTCCCCCCTCTCCCATCCCAACCCCCCCTCCCCTCTCCCTTCCCTGCTCTCTCCCCCCTTCCACAGCACCCCCCACCCCCCCTGGCGCAACAGCTCTCACATGCAAGACGGTAGCGCCGTGGGGCGGGACCTGGCAGGGGGGTACTATGTGGATGGGGGGGGAGTGAAGCAGACGGGGGTGACTGCATTCGCTATGAGCATGCTGGCTTGGAGCATTGTGGAGTTCGAGTGAGTGCTTATATGGGGTACAGGGTGAGTTTTTATATGGGGTATGGTTGAGAGGTTATACGGGATACGGGATGTTTATTGAATGGTACCGTATGGTATGGTATTGTATGGTTCGGCATGGTACTGTACGGTATGGTACGGAACGGTATGGTATGGTATGGTATCGTATGGCATGGTATGGTATGATATGGTCTCGTATTGTATGATATGGTATGGCCTGGTATGGTATCGTATCGTATAGTATGGCATGGTATGGTTAGCCACAGTAGACATGCTTTTCCAAGGCAGCATGTCTCTGAAGAGCTTGAGCGTAGAGAGGACGTGCCGTGGCAGCCTGGAGCAATGCCAGTGGCTCTACCCTACCGAGTTGACTTTTGAGTCGATTCAAGGTAAACTTTTCCAATTCAGCATTTCTCTGAAGAGCTTGAGTGGACCTACTCAAATGGGGAGTTGACTGGTTGCTCATGGCGGACCTGGGCCGGGGCTGTGCTGTGGCACAACCACAGCTCCTTGTTGCCACCCCCATTCTTCTCTTATACCCCCTTCCAGTCCCGAGCTTGAGTCAACTGGGTTGAAGCAGCGAGCAGTAGACCTACTCAAATGGGGAGTGGACTGGCTACTCATGGCGGATCTGGGCCGGGGCTGTGTCGTGGCGCAAGTGGGTGACTCTGCCGCCCAGAATTCGTGCTGGCAGCGGCCAGAGGACGACTCTGCCGCCCGGCCCGTGTACACTGTGGTGGGCGCGAACGGGCCCGGGGCGGCGGTTCTGGCTGACATGTCTGCTGCCTTTGCTGCTGGTGAGATGGTGTGTGTGAGATAAAGTTCTAGAATAGTAAACACGCAATGAATGAACGGGCCGGGGGCGGTGGTTTTGGCTGACATGTTGGCTGCCTTTGCTGCTGGTGAGGTGCCTTGGCTGCTGGTGAGATAGTGTGTGTGAGGTAAAGTCCCAGAATGAGTCTATCCTTGAGTGCGGGCTTGAGGCATGCAGTATGCCTGCTTTGGTGGGAGGAGGGGTTGCGGGCGGCAGTTCTGGCTGACATGGCTGCTGCCTTTGCCGCTGGTGAGATATTTTGTGCGTGCGGGGGTGTGTGTGTGAGTTAGCGAATCCCAGATTGAGTGTCAGAACGAGTCTGTCCTTCCAGCAGAGAGAGGTGTGTGTGTGTTCATGAGGTGGTTTATGTTGTGGCAGTTTGGCAGCACTCAGTCCGCTGGGCCTCCGTTGTGAGGCTTAGGAGGCGCGGCGCCACTGATGCCTCACAACGGACTGAGTGCCGGAGGCCCAGCGCCGGGTGCGGCAGTTCTGGTCTGGCTGACACCACTGATGCCTTGGCTGCTGGTGAGATGAGAATCATGAGATGCCTTGGCCGCATACGCCTCCTTGCTGCGCACGGAATCACAGAGACCCCCCCCACACTTCCGCTCCTCATATACTCCCACCCCACCCCCCTTCTCCCCCTCTTCTTCCCCTCTTCTCCCCCTCTTCTAAAGCCGCCTCGCATGTACTCGACGAGTTTGACCCCGGATATGCCGCCTTGCTGCGGGACCACACCACCATTCCCTACTCCTGCTACTTCGCCCTCTATGCCCCAACTTCCGCCTTGCTGCGGGACAACGCCGCCATTCCCAACACCCGCTTCTTTCCCCCTCTGTGACCCCACCACTTTCGCCCCTCGCCCCCTTCTCCCCACCAACACCCCAGCCGCACATGTGTTTGGCGAGTTTAGCCCCGGATACGCCACCTTGCTGCGGGGCCACGCCACCATTCCCATCTCCTCCCGCTTCTTTCTTTCCCCTTCTGTGACCCCACTTCCGCCCCTCGCCCTCCCCTCCTTCCAAACCAGCATCGCATGTGTTTGGCGAGTTTGACCCCGGATATGCCACCTCGCTGAGGGACCACGCCACACACACTGCACACCCCCCATTTCCGCTCCTTCCCCTCCACTAACACCCCAGCCCTACACGTGTTGCCCCTCACCCTCCTCCCAACACCCCAGCCTCGCATGTGTTTGGCGAGTTTGACCCCGGATACGCCGCCTCGCTGAGAGACCATGCCACCATGCTCTTTGAACTCGCCACCACCGCCACCTCCACCGATGAGTGAGCTGCCCCATCTCTGCCCCTCCATTGCGACACCGTCCCCTCTCACCATACACCACACCACCATGCTCTTTGAACTCGCCACCACCGCCACCTCCACCGATGAGTGAGCTGCCCCATCTCTCTGCCCCTCCATTGCGCCACCGTCCCCTCTCACCATACACCACACCACCATGCTCTTTGAACTCGCCACCACCGCCACCTCCACCGATGAGTGAGCTGCCCCATCTCTGCCCCTCCATTGCGCCACCGTCCCCTCTCACCATACACCACACCACCATGCTCTTTGAACTCGCCACCACCGCCACCTCCACCGATGAGTGAGCTGCCCCATCTCTGCCCCTCCATTGCGACACCGTCCCCTCTCACCATACACCACACCACCATGCTCTTTGAACTCGCCACCACCGCCACCTCCACCGATGAGTGAGCTGCCCCATCTCTCTGCCCCTCCATTGCGCCACCGTCCCCTCTCACCATACACCACACCACCATGCTCTTTGAACTCGCCACCACCGCCACCTCCACCGATGAGTGAGCTGCCCCATCTCTGCCCCTCCATTGCGCCACCGTCCCCTCTCACCATACACCACACCACCATGCTCTTTGAACTCGCCACCACCGCCACCTCCACCGATGAGTGAGCTGCCCCATCTCTGCCCCTCCATTGCGCCACCGTCCCCTCTCACCATACACCACACCACCATGCTCTTTGAACTCGCCACCACCGCCACCTCCACCGATGAGTGAGTGAGCTTCTGACTTGCAGTATTTCCCACATATGCGTACCTCCATGATCCATCACCCCATTACCCTATTCTTCCCTCTTGCCATGCACCAAGCCACCACAGCCTTCTCCACCTCCACCGATGAGTGCGCTTCCCTTCTGCCTGCCTCTGCCCCTCTGCTCTTGCTCAAGGCTTGCATAAGTTTCACACCCCTTGCTTAAGGCTCACACCCCTTGCTTAAGGCTCACACCCCTTGCTTAAGGCTCACACCCCTTGCTTAAGGCTCACACCCCTTGCTTAAGGCTCACACCCCTTGCTTAAGGCTCACACCCCTTGCTCTAGGCTCACACCCCTTGCTTAAGGCTCACACCCCTTGCTCTAGGCTCACACCCCTTGCTTAAGGCTCACACCCCTTGCTTAAGGCTCACACCCCTTGCTCTAGGCTTACACCCCTTGCTCTAGGCTCACACCCCTTCCTCTAGGCTCACACCCCTTGCTCTAGGCTCACACCCCTTGCTCTAGGCTCACACCCCTTGCTCTAGGCTCTGTATACATGGCTGTCTTTCCACTCCCTTGAATGTCTCACCCCCACCAGCTCGGCCCCTCCAGGCACTCTCCCCTACCAGCCACCCCCATCCTCCTCCTCGCCTGACTCCCACGAGGCGCTGCTTCTGTCTGCTGCTGCACGGCTCCTCGTGCCTCAATTCTCATGCCGTTGCTCAAGGCTCACACCCCTTACTCATGCCGCTGCCCTCCATTCCCATATCTCAACTCAGCCCCACCCCACCAGCACGGCCCTGCCAGGGACTCTCCCCTACCAGCCACCCCCACCCCCATCCTCCCCACCTGACTCCCACAATTAGCTGCTCTGGGCGGCTGCTTGGATCAAGGCACACGCTGCTGCAAGCCTTTTATGGCGGAATGCTCATGCCCTTGTCAACTTTCTCCTTTGCCCGTCTCACCTCCACCAGCGCGGCCCTGCCAGGGACTCTCCCCTACCAGCCACCCCCATCCCCATCCTCCTCGCCTGACTTTCAAGATGAGCTGCTGTGGGCGGCGGCATGGCTATGGCGCACCACCATGTCCGACCCCCTGCACCAATACCTGTTGAAGGTGGGTTCCCTTCCTGCTACTAACCACTGCTGCTGCCACTGCCTGTCTCAACTGCTACCAGCATGGCTATGGCGCACCACCATGTCCGACCCCCTGCACCAATACCTGTTGAAGGTGGGTTCCCTTCCTGCTACTAACCACTGCTGCTGCCACTGCCTGTCTCAACTGCTACCAGCATGGCTATGGCGCACCACCATGTCCGACCCCCTGCACCAATACCTGTTGAAGGTGGGTTCCCTTCCTGCTACTAACCACTGCTGCTGCCACTGCCTGTCTCAACTGCTACCAGCATGGCTATGGCGCACCACCATGTCCGACCCCCTGCACCAATACCTGTTGAAGGTGGGTTCCCTTCCTGCTACTAACCACTGCTGCTGCCACTGCCTGTCTCAACTGCTACCAGCATGGCTATGGCGCACCACCATGTCAGACCCCCTGCACCAGTACCTGCTCAAGGTGAGTTTCTGAATCCCCATTTTGTATTCTACTTCCACTGCTGCTGTGGTGCCTGTGTCACATGCAAGTGCCATGGCTATGGCGCACCACCATGTCAGACCCCCTGCACTAGTACCTGCTGCAGGTGAGTCCCCCCTGCACCAGTGCTTGCTCAAGGTGGGTTTCTTTGCTGCAGGTGAGTTCTCTGTACCAGTACTTTATCGTTCTTACCCCATTCGAATGCCACCACTCCACAGCCACTGGAACCAGTGTGTGCATATCTTAGATGTTATCAAACTACTCTTCCACAAGCTGTCAAACTGAGAAACGGGTAGAAAGCAGCAAGCTCGGTTTGACCGACCAGTAATGAGTAATCTCAGAACTACTAAGCTGAGTACTGTATTAGAACAGTGTGTGCATATCATATCTTAGATGTTATCAAACTACTCTTCCACAAGCTGCTCACTACTGCCGTCCCTTCTTCCCCCAATCCCACTCTTTCCCCCCAACAAAACGCATCAGCCCCAGCATGCGTCGCTGCCATACACGCTCGCCTTCACCCACACCAAAAAAACAGCGGGAGCAGCAGTGCTGCTGGCGACGTTCGTGATGGGGCCCATGGAGGAGGAGGGTGAGGCCACTTTTGAGTCGACTCAAAAGTCAGCTTGTGCTGGGGCCCATGGAGGAGGAGGATGAGGCCACCACACCGGCATATGAGTCTTGAGTCATCACAAAACCCTCTCTTCTCCCCTCCCACCACTCTCAACCCAACCTGCCAGCCCCAGCATGCGTCTCTGCCCTACACGCTCGCCTTCACCCACGCTAATAAGGCAGCGGGGGCAGCGGTGCTGCTGGCGACGTTTGTGCTGGGGCCCATGGAGGAGGAGGATGAGGCCACCACACAGGCAGCTGGCGCTGACGTCATCTTCAGATTCCAGAAGCTCGTGGAAGCTTCCATCTGTGCTTCCACAGCCGACGTGCCGTCCAGGACCAGTGCTGATACTTTAGCCCAGAACATGCCAAAAACACAAGGTACGACGAACCTGCGCACAGCTCATGGTACGAAACTCAACTCGCTGTGTGAAGCTCGTGAAAGATTCCATCTGTGCTTGCACTGCTAACGGGCCCTCCAGGACCAATGCTGAGACGCTAGCACGCAGAATGCCTTGCACGCATGGTACGAAACTCGTTGCATGAAGCGCATGGTACAAGGCTCGTTGCATGAAGCGCATGGTATGAGACGAGCTAAGGTGGAAACTTCCCTCTGAGGCTATGCTGAGGTGCTATGGCAGGACCACTTACCTAGCGTTTCTTCTCAAAACAAGTTCTTATTCCCCTCCCTTTCCTCCTTGCCCCCTTCCTTCGTCCCATGTAACTCCCCACCAGGCGGGCTGTTATGGCTGGGCGAGCATGAGCCGCTGCATGCAGCAATGCAGGCAACCTTAAATCTCAAGACCTACTCTCGCTCCCTTCCCCGTGCCCACGTGTTCTTATCCGCTCCTCTCACACATGTAACCCATACAACCTCACACCAGGCGGGCTGTTATGGCTGGACGAGAATGAGCCGCTGCATGCAGCAATGCAGGCGGCCTTCCTTCTCAAGACTTACTCTCGCTTCCTCAAGCAGGGAGCAGAGGATGAGGGGCGGTGCAGTGGTGTGTCACCGCATGCCGTGTCAACACTCTCTCGCTCCCAGGTGCGTTCCACAGCAACATTCGCAAGGCCGTCCCAGGTGCGTGTCATGTCAGCCTTCGCGCGCTCCCAGGTGCGTGTTGTGTGCACTCCCAGGTGCATGCCGTGGCAGCACTCTCGCACAGTCGCAGGTGAGTTGCGAGTTATGAGGACATATGCGTTATGAGACGGCCCAGAATGCAATTTGTAGCTCAACGTTTCCATGGTGAACAATGATACTCTTTTACTTTTTGTTACTTTACACAATTTGTACCGTACTGATTGTTTTTCAGATTGACTATCTTCTAGGGACTAATCCGCAACAACTCAGCTACATGGTGGGCTTTGATGAGAAATACCCCGAGTTCGTTCGCCATCGAGGAGCGTCAGTCCCATCCTTCGCATCCGATCCAACGGTGTACACATGCTCATCGGGTCAACAGTGGCTGCAAAGCAGCTCACCCAACCCCAACATACTCTCAGGTGCACAAACCACGCTTGATTACTGTAGAATTGTAGAATGGAATCTTTCTACATTTTGCACATTATGTTGACTATTTTGCTGTATTCCTTGTACTTGCTGTGTGCAGGAGCGGTGGTGGGGGGGCCAGACCACAACGATAATTTCAATGACTCCAGAGACAATCGCCTAAATGAGCCTGCTATTTACATAAATGCTGCCCTTGTAGGCCTGCTTGCTTCATTCAGTAGTCCATGATCTATGGACTGGTGGCATCCTTTCATTCCGTTCAAGCATTGTTGTGGCTGTCATTTTGGATCATAGCATAGTATAAACAAAATGGCATGTACATTGTATATCGCCCATTTGTCAACAAAATGGCATGTAAATTGTATAATCATATTTGTTTTTATATTCATTGATAAAGTCAGGCTGGAATCTGTACCGGGTTGATTTGTGAGTATTGGTGTCATCGGTCATTACAGGTTTCAGAGCGGTTTGATTTACTTCTAGAATGGTAGAAAATGCCCTGGCACTGCGACAGGGCAGGTTGGACAGTTCTTTCACAGTTGTTCAGGTGAGTTTTTCCTGAAGTTCAGATGGGTTAAACGCGGTTCAACGAGGCGAATAAATAGAAACGTTATGGAATACACAGCATCGTACTGAACCGTTATGACTTCGCGTGGCTGAGGTTCCTCAATATTGGCAGCTCTATGCCCATTTCCAACACTCGCAGCACAGCTGCTTCCACACTCTCCCACTTGCGCGTCGCGCGCTTGCTCCCCCCACTTAGTTGCCTCACTGCTTGCCTTGCCTCACGCAGCCATGGCTGCCGAAACACAGCAGCAAGTGGCGGGAGGTGCGTATGGCTGCGAAGCCGACCTATAGCTGTGGGAACCTCCTAACATAGGAGGAGTTGAAATCGGTATGGCTGATTGGGGTGAAACATAGTGCGTCCCTTCCACACTACGCGAAGCTGAGACCCGTGCTGACTGGCTAACGTGGTACTACGAGCCATTTTCGATTTCGTTATCAGAATAGAGTGCACGTGCCTTACTTTTGGCGCAAGCGTATCCTAACAAACAAGCCGCCTCTGTTGCTCTCGCCTGCTTCGCAAAAGTATCACCTCACCGAATTCCCACAATTCTTTAGTAGGCGAATTTCTTCCCTCCACACCACAATACTCGAGTCCTCATTGCATCTAATCGGCGTGAGACGGACTGAGCTGTTCGGTATCCCTCGTCTTGCTTCCTAAAAGGCAATGGTGATCTAGTAGTGACCTTGTCACACATTTCCACTCGAAGGATCCCTCTTCCTCAGCTTCGCGCACATTCGCTCAGGCTCGCTCACCTTCGCTCACCTTCGCTCACCTTCGCTCACATTCGCTCGGGTTCGCTCAGCATCCTTATCTGATAGACGCGATAATCTGCCTCGTTGATGTTCCGCACTTGAGCACTTGAGCGGCCCCATAGGCTTCTTCACAACAACGAAAAGGTGTATGCGGGTCGCTGCGATGGCCTCGCATCTCCGCTCATTCCCATCGCTCAGCTTTCCGCGACGAACCGCGAGCTCCCGTCGGGCCTCCTCTTCGTCCTCTTCCTCCTCGTCCTCCTCCTCCTCTTCCGCAACTCGTTTGCTCATTCAACGGTTATCGTCGTCCTCCTTATCACCTTCCTCCTCTTCCTCCTCAAGCACCTCCTTTCTACGGCCCTCCTTGCACGGATCCAGAAGACGGCCATTCGGCTCCCACTGGCAATGCTCGTCGCAAATCTTCGCAATCGTCGTCGCTGCAATTTTCGTTCGTGCGACAATCGGCGAGCAGGATTCGCGAAGGAGCCTGATTGGCCACGATCAGGCGACTCAGGTGCCGGCGACGGTTCTATTATCGCCTGATCCGGTCTTTCCTAACGTGCTGGGTCGCATCAAGCTTTATGAAGAGGACGGAATGAGCGGCCAATCAAACCTTGTCGCAAATTCTGCGAAGTCGCAGCAAGAAGTCGCATCGTCGCAAGAGTCGTCGAAACCGTCGCAAACGTCGCCGTCGGCGCCAGCGGCGTGCAATCTGGAGGATGGGTCTTGGGAGGTTGACGACTCGTGGCCGCTCTACCAATCAGAGAGCTGCCCATTCGCGCGAGAAGAAACAATGTGCGCGAAATACGGAAAACCTAACTTAGACTACGCGAAGCTGAGATGGGTGCTGACTGGCGAACGTGGTAACCCTGACGGCGGTTCTGGCGACAGCAGCGAAAAATGCTCAGTTCCAAAGATCACGGGTTCGAATCTCTGCAAACGCGTCGCGGGGCATCGCATAGCGTTCGTGGGGGATTCGTTATCGCAAAACGCGTTCGAGTCAATGGCGTGCCTGATGCACCGATTTTCGGGAATGCCGGAAGTTCGGCTGAACAATCACCGGGATCGCGTGTACCACTGGCATCAGTGCAACTTCACCATCGCGTTCTCGTTGTAAGCAGACCCGACATCCCTTCCTCGTCGTTTTGCAGCTGCCATTCGTCCACAAATTGCATCCTTTGATCCCCCTCTCCTACAGTGCTTTCTGCCATTTACCCACTCACCCTCATATTTCCCCCTCTCCCCCCTCTCCCCCCAACCCCCCCCCCCCCCCCCCCCCCCCCCCCTTGCCCTCATTTCCTTCCCCTTCCTTTTCCCCTGGTCCCGTCTCTTCGTTTCTCTCTATACCTGGTAAATCTCCTCCACTCTTTCCGCCTTCGCGAATTTGCAGCCACCAGTTTCTGTCCGAGGTGGCATGGAACAAGGTGAAGGTGTCGGACGGAGGGGCTATCCTGCTGGACCAATCAGGGAAGAGATGGACGAAGCACATTAAAGCCTTCAACACGTTTGTTGTCAACTCAGGTAAGGAAGCAATCACCAAGCAATTCCTAATCCACCAAAGCAATCCTTGAAGCAATCACCAAAGAAAACCCTGACCGCTGAAGCAATCACTGAAACAATCGCAGAAGCAACCTCTGCAGACCAAGCATTCAATTGTGCTTTCAGTCACTACTGACCAGGTGCGGTCATGTTCTGACTGTCTCACCACACGTGAAAGACTAATATTTGAGGTATGTGCCACCTTAATTCAAATTGTGTGTAAGCAACACCTAAGGAAGGACCTGCCATGCTCAGTCAGATTCCCACACTCCCCTCAAACCTCCCACGCAGCCATCATATCTCCCACACACCCTTGTATCTCTCATGCACCCTGCACATCTCCCATATCCCTGACATGACCCACACACCTCACCTCTCAACCCCCCTCATATATCCTCCACCCACTCCAAGGTCCTTCACTCCTTACTTGCCTTTCATATTCAATCATTGCCTCGTTTCCCTTCCTTCTTCCATCGGTTTCTCTCTTTCGCCCTTATCCATAAATAGCAATGTGCAATTCACCAAAGATATACTACACGTGTCACTTGTTGTTCCCTTCATGCAGTTCCCTGTCTACATGTTGCAAATGTGTTAAATCCTTCGCCCGCCCTTCTCTCCCTGCTTACCTGTTCAGGCCATTGGTGGTCGGAACGACAACTGGCCCGTTATAACATCACGCTCGCACCTCCTTATAAATCGCTCCACTATCTCCTAGCATATCGCCACGCCCTCAACCAAACCCTCTCCGAGTTTCTACACCCAGAACTCGCTAACAAACAGGTTTTCTTCACCACGTCTGCCCCGTCCCACGACGTTCACGGACTCTGCCCAGAAAGAAAAATTGTCAAGAAGACTGACACTAAGCGGTTCAAGAAGATGCGACTCCCGTGGACGGTTGAAAAGAATAAAGTCCTAGTCGATGTTGTTCGGGGGTTTGAGGAGAAGCAAGCGCGAGCGGCAAAAGGGTTCCAGGGGGCGAGAATAAAGCTGCTAGACATGAACAACGTGACGCTCTACAGGCAAGAGGCGCACCCGTCGACGTTCAATGCGAGGGGTAATTGGGACTGCCTGCACTACTGCCTGCCGGGAGTGCCTGACGCATGGAATGAGATACTGCTGTGGCAGATAGAGGCTGAAAATCTTAGAACTCGGGAAGCTTTCACTGTTTAATGTGAGGTATGCTGTTTATTGAGATGGAAAAATATCATACCACCACTTGCAGCAATAGGAAATTATGAGATTGAACAGAGGCACGATAAGTGCAGAAATCGTTAGAGTGTATTTTCATGGCTCGGCCTAGCTGCCTATCAGACATGAGTGCTTTCTCGGATGTACATTTTCTTAGAAATCGTGGAATTTCTGAGGGGTGGGGGAACGGGGAACCCAGACCGTCATAGACCCGTCGGGCAGGTTTTTGTTTTGGGCCCCCAACCAAACGGTTGGTCGGTCGGTATTGCCCCAGCAGTGGGTCTGAGTTTTGCCCCTGAACCGCGCCCCCCCAAAAAAAACAGGGGATCTTATCGTAGCATCAGGTGGCAGCCACCTTGAGCGAGCTAAACTTCACCGGAATGAAAATGTGTCACAGTAACGGCGAGTCGTTCGTAGGCGCCCGACCAGGCCCTACGATATCAGGAAATTTTCCCTGAAATTCCTGATTTTCAGGGATTTTTTTGTACCTACCCTGATTTTCCAGTGTTCAGCTTTTTGGGGGACTGTTTTTTCAGCCTTTAGGGGCCAGATGACTCTGAAGTTTCAGGTTTTTTTTTTAAGGGACACTGATTACAATACGATGTAACTAAACTGACACTGAATGCGATTCCTACACGTTCCGAGTGTAGTTGCCCGGAAGTACAGGGAATCTCAGATTCCCGCGGTGTCAGCACCGCCTGGCGGTGACTACCAGACAAATTTGCCCCGTGTTATTCACTTTGAGGGCTGCTTTGTTGGCGCGCTTGGTCCGATCATTGGCCCCGTAAATGAACCCTCTGTTGCTGATGCTTGCTAGCTAGTTAGTGTTATCTTATTTAAAGTTCAATATCAGCCTTAAAGCCCGGGGTCAGCATGGTAAATTATCAAGTTATGTGGATTTGAAATAGGCTGTATGCGAGATCTGCGAAGCCTATTTCGGTTGGCTGCCTTTGGCGAGAACAATTATCCTCCGCCAACAAGTGAACATTTCGCACTCACCAAACCTGCGAATCCCACCAACCCAAAGCGACAAATGTGTCGCACACATCCTCTCTCACACATCCTCTCTTGCATCGAGCATGGAAAGTGTTGCTCACCCGAAGTCACCTCACCACTAAATCAGCTCGATGCTAACGGGAAATAGAAAAACAGAGCAAGCAACGCACGTGCTGGGTATTAGCGCCACCTACTCAACGCCACAACAGAAACGTGTTCGAGACGATCCTTACCCCAGATTACTAGCTTACCGACCATCGCAGGAGCTGGCAACAGCAAAGTGTAGGAACGTGCAAGCGCGATTGCACTTACGGGAAGAAGGCCGTGATGACAGACTGGAGACTACGGGTAGCTAGGCACAACAAGAAACCGGGAGTGTATTGGAGTCGTTGTGACTAGCCAGGGGGAAGAAAGCGGACGAGATTCGGCTCGCGCACCAAGCGCCGAGCAGCACCCGCTCGCCGCATTTAGCTGCTCGCGTTCTGTGCGACGCGGAGCCCCGCATTCCTCGCGACGCGGATCCCGCATTTCAGGCGGATCGGATCCCGCCCTCCAGTCGACGCGGAGCCCACGTTCCCGGCGACGCGGACTCCGCGTTCCAGACGACGCGGAGCCCGCGTTCCAGACGACGCGGAGCTTGCATTCCAGACGACGCGGAGTCCGTGTTCCAAACGATTGGCAGTCCGCGTTCCAGACGACGCGGAGCCGCATTCCAGACGACGCGGAGCCCGCATTCCCGGCGACGAGAAGCGCGCCCTCCAGGTGACCTGGCTACGACCACCGCGCGCACAACTAAAGCGGATACTGCGCACTGACGGGGAGCAAGGGGCAGCACACGCCCCTGCGGCTCGCTCGAGAGGATAGACCAGGTGAGTGCCCAATTCCCTGCTACTGCGACTATAGTACAGTGACAATGGTCGCTGCTGCCTTGGGGGTCCTACCACGCTCACGTGTCACGAGGCAAAGGCACACAGCTGCAACCAGGACAGCTGCTGCCTTGGGCTTGCTTTCACCACTGTAAACCCACCTGTTCTGTCCCAAGGCAGCAGCATCTCTGGATGCTGCTGCCTTGGACCTGGTTTCAGCACCATGCCCCCACCTGTTCTGTCCCAAGGCAGCAACAACCAGAGTTGCTGCTGCCTTGGGCCTGGTTTCAGCACCATGCCCCCACCTGTTCTGTCCCCATGCAGCAACAACCAGAGTTGCTGCTGCCCTGGGCTTGCTTTCACCACTGTAAACCCACCTGTTCTGGCCCAAGGAAGCAGCATCCAGAGATGCTGCTGCCTTAGGCCTGGTTTCAGCACCATGCACCCACCTGTTCAGTCCCAAGGCAGCAGCAACTCTGGATGCTGCTGCCTTGGGCTTGCTTTCACCACTGTAAACCCACCTGTTCTGGCCCAAGGCAGCAGCAGCTCTGGATGCTGCTGCCTTGGGCCTGGTTTCAGCACCATGCACCCACCTGTTCAGTCCCCAGGCAGCAGCAACTCTGGATGCTGCTGCCTTGGGCTTGCTTTCACCACTGTAAACCCACCTGTTCAGTCCCAAGGCAGCAGCATCCAGAGATGCTGCTGCCTTTGGCCTGGTTTCAGCACCATGCACCCACCTGTTCAGTCCCAAGGCAGCAGCAACTCTGGATGCTGCTGCCTTGGGCTTGCTTTCACCACTGTAAACCCACCTGTTCTGGCCCAAGGCAGCAGCAGCTCTGGATGGTGCTGCCTTGGGCCTGGTTTCAGCACCATGCACCCACCTGTTCTGTCCCAAGGCAGCAGCAACTCTGGATGCAGCCTCCTTGGGCCTGGTTTCAGCACCATGCACCCACCTGTTCAGTCCCAAGGCAGCAGCACCTCTGGTTGCTGCTGCCTTGGGTCTGGTTTCAGCACCATGCCCCCACGTGTTCAGTCCACAGGCAGCAACAACCAGAGTTGCTGCTGCCTTGGGCCTGGTTTCAGCACAATGCACCCACGGCTTATGTCCCAACTTAGCAGCAATCAGAGTTGCTATTGCCTTGGTCTTGGTGGAATCACCATGCACCCACCTGGTGCATTGGGCCCTGAGTTATGTCCCAAGGCAGCAGCAACTAGAGTTGCTGGTGCTTTGGGCCCTTTCTCTATTGCCCTCCGCCCTTCTCCCTCCCCCCCTCCAGGCATGCCCTGCCATGCTCTGCGGATGAGATTATTCATAGCTACAGGCACACCACCCTAAATTCTGGCTTATCCTCCTTCTCATTGGCTATAGCTGCAGGTTACCACTGTGAGAGGGATAAGGCGGAATTGCCATGGGATCAAGGGGATGATGTGGCAGACGCAGTGATAAAAGATGCGGAGGAGTGGAGCGACGATAGTGATGAGTGGTGGGTAGCAGGCCACTATGACGGGGAGGAAGTGGAGGTGTGGGTGGCAGGTCAGGATGAATAAATGGGGTTGTGTTTCCATCCCCACTGTGCTAATGTGGTCTTGAACATGTCATGCTTGAATGTGTTTTCACCAACTTTGCCGTTCTGTCCTAAACCTAATCATGATAAGAGTGAAATAAACTTGCACATATTATAGCCCGGTGAAACTACTCCCATGCTTCGATTCTTGAGACCCTAATCCAGCTCATGTTCCATTCTGCCTAGGGCACTAGCTTGTTTGGTATCCCAAAAAGGATACATCCATGATGATGTGTAACAATTATCTTACTCCAAAGGTGTCAGTACTGGAATCGACACACCAGTTAGCCTGCCAACACATGGCAGATGCATGGGTGGGATAGAAGGCGCACAGCTTGAGGGCTAAAAAATGTACCAGTAGTAGCTCAGAGAAGGAGCAGACGAACCAGTGGCAGCTATAGGATCTCTGGAGGGACTTGCTGCTGCTCTTGAAGCAGAAAAGCAGGGGTGCAAGGGTGGAAAGCAGGGGTGCAAGGGGGAGAATCAGGGGTGCAAGGGTGGAAAGCAGGGGTGCAAGGGGGAGAAGCAGGGGTGCAAGGGTGGAAAGCAGGGGTGCAAGGGGGAGAAGCAGGGGTGCAAGGGTGGGAAGCAGGGGTGCAAAGGTGGAGAGCAGGGGTGCAAGGGTGGAAAGCAGGGGTGCAAGGGTGGAAAGCAGGGGTGGAAGGGTGGGAAGCAGGGGTGCAAGGGTGGAAAGCAGTGGTGCAAGGGTGGGAAGCAGGGGTGCAAGGGTGGAAAGCAGTGGTGCAAGGGTGGGAAGCAGGGGTGCAAGGGTGGAAAGCAGGGGTGCAAGGGGGAGAAGCAGGGGTGCAAGGGTGGGAAGCAGGGGTGCAAAGGTGGAGAGCAGGGGTGCAAGGGTGGAAAGCAGGGGTGCAAGGGTGGAAAGCAGGGGTGGAAGGGTGGGAAGCAGGGGTGCAAGGGTGGAAAGCAGTGGTGCAAGGGTGGGAAGCAGGGGTGCAAGGGTGGAAAGCAGTGGTGCAAGGGTGGGAAGCAGGGGTGCAAGGGTGGGAAGCAGGGGTGCAAGGGTGGAAAGCAGTGGTGCAAGGGTGGGAAGCAGGGGTGCAAGGGTGGAAAGCAGTGCATAGGTGGAAAGCGGGACCAGACGAAACAGTGACAATTTGAATTCACATTAGCGGTGGGTATGAGAGGAGTGGGAAGTTTGGAACGAGGGTGTAGGGATATGAGAGGAGCAGGGGGTATGAGGGGACTGTGGGGTATGAGAGGAGTTGGGTGTACGAGGGGAGTGCGGGGTATGAGAGGAATGGGGAGTATGAGAGGAGTGGGGGGAGTGGATGGTATGGAATGAGTGGGGGTATGAGAGGAGTGGGGAGTATGAAAGGAGTGGGGGGTATGAGAGTAGTGGGGAGTATGAAAAGAGTGGGGGGTATGTTGCAGCATGCTGCTGGCATTATGCTGAACGAGGCATTACTGGACATGTTTTCAAAATCATCAATGCAGCAGATTCCCCGGTCGCTCAGCACCTGGGCGCCGCTCTCCAGCACCTGCTGGGCGGCAAGCATGGAGGGGAATGGGAAGAGAAAAATAAGCACACATCTCAGCATTCAGCCCAGACTTTATCATCTCATCGATGCAGCAGGCACTTTTCGAACGTGAGCGTGTTCCTAAGTCTGCTGCGCTGCCCCCTAGTTGCACCTGCGTCCCCCCTCATCCTTCCGGATGTGAATGCAGTCCAAAAAGGTCTGCAAGAGAGGGTGAATGGTCACTGAGATTGCACACAAGTCTGCTGCGCTGCCCCCCTGTTGCGCGTGCGTCCCCCCTCCTCTTTGCGATTGTACATGGGGAGGGAGAGGATAGGTACAAGGGGAGGGATTGGAGAGGCACATGGGGAGGGACAGGAAAGATGGCAAGATCGAGGGAGAGGAGGGGCATGGGGGAAGCATTGGGGATGGAGGGGGGAAGCAGGGAGGAGGGAGAGGGAAAGCAGGGAGGGGGATGGGGGGGAAGCAGGGAGGGGATGGGGGGAAGCAGGGAGGGGGATGGGGGGAAGCAGGGAAGGGGATGGGGGAAGCAGGGAAGGGGATGGGGGGAAGCAGGGAAGGGGATGGGGGGAAGCAGGGAAGGGGATGGGGGGAAGCAGGGAAGGGGATCGGGGGAAGCAGGGAAAGGGATGGGGGGAAGCAGGGAAGGGATAGGGGGAAGCAGGGAAGGGGATGGGGGGAAGCAGGGAAGCGGAGGGGGGGAAGCAGGGAAGGGGATGGGGGGAAGCAGGGAAGGGGATGGGGGGAAGCAGGGAAAGGGATGGGGGGAAGCAGGGAAAGGGATGGGGGGAAGCAGGGAAGGGATGGGGGGAAGCAGGAAAGGGGATGGGGGGAAGCAGGGAAGGGGAGGGGGGGAAGCAGGGAAGGGGATGGGGGTAAGCAGGGAAGGGGAGGGGGGTAAGCAGGGAGGGGGATGGGGGAAAGCAGGGAAGGGGATGGGGGGAAGCAGGGAAGCGGAGGGGGGGAAGCAGGGAAGGGGATGGGGGGAAGCAGGGAAGGGGATGGGGGGAAGCAGGGAAGGGGATGAGGGGAAGCAGGGAAGGGGAGGGGGGGAAGCAGGGAAGGGGATGGGGGGGGAAGCAGGGAGGGGGATGGGAGGAAGCAGGGAAGGGGATGAGGGGAAGCAGGGAAGCGGAGGGGGGGAAGCAGGGAAGGGGATGGGGGGATTCTGGGTGGGGGATGGGGGGAAGCAGGGAAGGGGATGGGGGGAAGCAGGGAAGGGGATGGGGGGAAGCAGGGAAGGGGATGGGGGGAAGCAGGAAAGGGGATGGGGGGAAGCAGGGAAGGGGATGGGGGGAAGCAGGGAAGGGGATTGGGGGAAACAGGTAGAGGGTGTGGAGAAGCAGGTCAGAGGATGGGGGAAACAGGGCAGGGGATAAGGGGTCACAAGGGATAGGATGGGGGGAACAGGGGCAGATGCCAGAGGAAGGTACATGGGGTGGGACAGGAAAGATGGTGAGATCGAGGGAGAGGAGGGGCATATGGGGAAAGCGAAGGCTCACCTGGTGCGTGGCGCTGACCTCTCTGAGGTCCTTCCCTATGTCCTCCCCCCTCTGTATCTCCCCCTCTGTCCTTCCCCTTCTGTCTCTCTCCCTGTCTCCTTCCCCCTCGATCTCTCCCCCTCTGTCCTTCCCCTTCTGTCAACAACCCTGTCTCCTTCCCCCTCTATCTCTCCCCCTGTGACATTCCCCCTCTGTCTCTCCCCCTGTGTCCTGCACCCTCTGTCTCTCCCCCTGTGTCCTGCACCCTCTGTCTCTCCCCCTGTGTCCTGCACCCTCTGTCTCTCCCCCTGTGACATTCCCCCTCTGTCTCTCCCCCTGTGTCCTGCACCCTCTGTCTCTCCCCCTGTGTCCTGCACCCTCTGTCTCTCCCCCTGTGTCCTGCACCCTCTGTCTCTCCCCCTGTGTCCTGCACCCTCTGTCTCTCCCCCTGTGTCCTGCACCCTCTGTCTCTCCCCCTGTGTCCTGCACCCTCTGTCTGTCCGTGGGAAGGGCGAGGAAAGGAAGGTGGGAAGGAAGGAGTGCAGAGAGATCGAAAGAGGCAGAAGAGAAAGAGAGCGCGAGGGAGATGGGAGTGTAAGAGAGAGCGAGAGATATAGGAAGCGAGGGGAGAGGGATAGATGGGAGGGAGGAAGAGATGGAGGGTGGACGGAGGCGGGGATGCAGGCGGGTACGGTGACGCCAGCGCGAAATACAGAGGCGGAGGCGACGAGGAGAAGCGCGCGCGAAATCAAGTGGCGGGGGCGACGATTTTGGTATCGCGCGGGCGACGATCTGAACCGCGCGCGGGCGACGAGAAGAAGCGCGCGAGGGCGACGTGGAAAATCGCGCGCGGGCAAACGGGCGACGCGCGCGCGGGCGTCAAGGATAAGCGCGCGCGGGCGTCAAGGAGGAGCGCGCGCGGGCAACCTGGAGAAGCGCTGGACGGTGGGAAGCGCGGGCGACGAAAGGAAGTGAGGGCGACGAGTGGTAGATATCGATGCTCGAGCAAGTGTGGCCGACGTGATGAAGCGCGGGAATCGCTTTTCCGCGAGTCTCACGTGGGTAAAGCGCACACGACATCCTACAAGCAGTGAGTGTGGCAACTCATGCCATTTTCGGGAGCCTTGCGCGTGTGGGGCACTAGCACGGACGTACCGTGTCTGGCATTCGAAAGAGGCACGGTGCGGGCGAGTTTGGCAGGCAGTTGTGCTACGCAGTGATTGGACAGACAGCGTGAGGGACTAGTGTTGGCCGAAAAAAACGCCTACCCTTGAGGGTGCTTTTGTCGCCCAGCCGCCCGTTTCCTAGTTACGTGTGTCATAGTGGACTAGAGGTACTACTTGGTCTTCAAGATATGTGAGAGGTGATCCAGGCAATATTGTGGGCGATGGACGGGTCTGTCGTGCGACTGGTCACTGAAACCAATCAGGAGTGAGGGTCGCAAGAGGTTTTCCCGGGGTCGCGAGTTGAGTTTCAAACCAAAGAGGGTTACCCTGTTTTTTTGCGACTTCAAGTTCAAGAATCTTGAACTTGAAATATACCATGTGGTACTCGGGCTTTAACAAAAAGGGAACACTGATGCATCATATTTTTTTTGAAGGTAACACTGAATTTTCAGGCTTTTTTTTTTTGGGACACTGACGATCAGGGATTCTACACAGAGGGACCCTGATGCTGTAACTGTCAAGAATAGAACTAGGAATGGATGATTGAACTAGGCAAGAGGTGAGTACAAGTAGGGGAAACCTAACCCTAAAGTGTTGTACTCACTAAGGAGTGACCCTACTGTAGCCTAGAGATACAATTGTAATTTGACACACCCCCATAGGCAAAGTAGGGGACAGCAAACACAACAAGCGGTCACAAGACCAGTCTGCAGAAGAGAACACAACTCAGGGTGGATCACAAAGTCACCACGCATTCTGAGCACAAGCAAGTGGCCACAAGGCCAGTTCACATGCAGAGGTATATAATAGCAAGGCAGTACACTGATCACAACCTAGCAAGAGAAAACATGCAGGTATAAAGATATATAGCAGTGTACAACAAGAGCAAGTCAAGCAACCAACAGGTGAGGCAGAGTGGGCACAAGCCCAAGAGCAGTGCAGAAACGGTGATGATCACCAGACCCAAGGGCCTTGGTGAAGACATCAGCAGTGTTGGCCCGAGAGGCCACGTAAGCAAGGCGCAGCTGACCACGCTGCTGCAGCTCACGCGCAAGGAAGTAGCGAAGAGCAATGTGCTTCGTTCTGTGCTCCAGTCTCTGCTCGCGACACAAGGCAAGCATTGCCTTGTTGTCGACGTACAGAACTGGAGGAGAACGAGGCCGCTCCCCCAAGTCGGTCAGCAGGTAGGTCAGCCAGCGTAGCTCCTGTGCAGCCATGGCCCCAGCATAGATCTCGGCCTCACAGCTGGAACCAAGCACAGAAGAAGAACGAGTGGACCTCCACGAGACAGAACCAGAGCCAAGACTGAAGGTGTAACCCTGTGACGAACGCTGAGTCGTCTGGTCGTCGGCCCAAGAAGCGTCAGAGTGTCCTGTGAGGACCACCGAACCCCGTCCTCCAAGCACGAGCCCCATGCCCGATGTGCTGCACAAGTAACGCAGTACCCTCTTCGCAGCATCAAAGTGCACCTTTCGGTGTTGACCAGGTGCCACGTAGCGAGCCAGGAGGCTGAGAGGGTATGCGAGGTCAGGTCGTGTGCACGTCATCAGGTACATGAGGCAACCCACAAGCTCTGGGTACGGACCACTCGGCTCTACGGACTCGTCCGAAGGTGGAGCTGAGAGCGAGTGGCCGGTAGACAGAGGAGTGGGCTGTGGCGAGGACCAAGTGAAGCGGAAGCGCTGAAGGACCTGGTGCACCATGTGTGACTGAGTGAGGGTGATGGTGCGCCGTGGTCTGTCCCGGGTGATCTGCAAGCCAAGATAGCTCCGCAGCTCACCCAGGTCAGTGCAGGTGTGTCTCTCCTGCAGCTCCGCCTTCACTAGGGCCAGTGCCTCAGTGTCAGCAGTAGCAAAAACCAAGTCGTCGTGCCACTCACGGGGCGCCTGACGCAGGCCGTACACTGGTCGCCGTAGGCTCCACTGGGTACCCTCAGGAAACGACCCAGTGAAGCCCTGTGGACGGCGCAACCAGATGGCCTCGTGAAGGCTACCCTGCAAGAAAGCTGTCGAGAAGTCGAGGGAGTGCACCTCGTAGTCACGCTGAGCTGCAACGTGTAGCAACACCCGAAGAGTGGTCATCTTCGGGGTGGGGGAGAAGGTTTGAAAGAAGTCGACCCCCTCACGCTGACTGAAGCCTCGAGCAACGTAACGTGCCTTGAAGGCAGGCGGAGAACCCGGCGGCCGCTTCACCCTGAAAATCCACATGCCACTGACGATGTTCGCCCCAGGTGGGGGAACCTCGTCGAGGTAGGTGCCTGTGGACTTCCAGGAAGCCATCTCTGCGTCCATGGCTGTCTGCCACTGAGAGGAGTACTCACCCGAAATCGCCTCCCTGTAGGAGGGCGGGGTGGGGATGTCAAGTGCATCCGGGTCTCCCTCAGGGGCAAGCAGCATGCTCGCGTGATGGGGTGAAGCGGCAGCAAGGCACTCCAGCTCCTCCTGTCTGTCCTCAAGAACGTCACAGCCAAGGGCAGTACAGCCAAGAGCAGTCTCACCCCCGACGGACGGAGGACAGGCAGGGACAGGGTCAGAGACAAGACTCGCAAGGTAGTCTAGGCGGTACACAGCAGTAAATTCAACGAGCTTAGCTACTAGGGCAGACACAGCAGGAGACGAGAACGTAGGGTCCGTCATAACCGTAGCAAGAAGGCGAGTAACAGTCGGACTGGACGCACGAGCAAGGTCAGACGGAGGGTCAGCAACGTCAGGCAGAGAGGACGCAGGAGGTAACGGTAGTACAACACGCTGAGGAACAGAGGAAGGACGGAGTGTCATATCGTGAGTGCCGGGGACAGCCGGAGCACGCTGACGACGAACACGAGGAACACGAGCACGGACAGCAGCTCTAGGCTCAGGCTCAAGGTCAAAGCTAGACTCAGGCTCTCGACGCTCAGGGGTGGAAGCACGAGTCTCAGGCTCTCGACGCTCAGTCAGGGACTCTGACACCGCAGTGTAAGGAGCAGGAGCAGGCAGTGGGGAGTGTGGTAGCAGCGGTGGCTGTGACTGGTCCGCTGGCGGACACAGCAACGGAGGAGTAGTACCTGCCACAGGGAAGCCAGTAGCACCTGGCGGAAGACTGAGAAGGTGGCGAAGAGCAACAGTAGCTCCCGTACCTCCAGCACGAGCAGCTCCTCCAGTACCCCCAACAACACCTCCAGCACCAGTAGCACCAGCACCTCCAGCACCACGAGCTCCGACAGCGCCAGCACCTCGAGCACCAGTAGTACCTCCAGCACCTCCAGTGCCTCCAGCTCAAGTAGTACCTCCAGTACCTCCCGTGCCAGCAGCTCCAGTAGCACCTCCAGCACCTCCAGCACCAGCAGAACCACCTGCTCCGGCAGCTCCAGCACCTCCAGTACGAGCACCTCCGGGACCAGTAGCTCCAGCACCTCCAGTACCTCCAGCGCCAACGCCTCCAGCACCAGCAGCACCAGCACCTCCAGGGTCAGCAGCTCCCGCAGCTCCAGCACCTGTAGCACCAGCACCTCCAGTGCCAGTAGCTCCAGCACCTCCAGTAACAGTAGTACCTCCAGCACCAGCAGCTCCAGTACCTCCAGCTCCAGTACCTCCAGCACCGGCAGCACCTCCAGTAGTAGCAGCTCCAGTACCTCCAGCACCAGCAGTAGCTCCAGTACCCCCAGCACCAGCAGCTACAGTACCCCCTGCACCAGCAGCACCTCTAGTACCTCCAGTAGTACCTCCAGCACCTCCAGCACCAGTAGCACCTCCTGGACTAGAAGCTCCAGCACCAGCAGGACCGTACCCTCCACCACCAGGACTGCCTCGCAGAACGACCCACGCCCGAATCACCTGCGGCGAGAGCGTCTCAAGTAGAGCAGGCTGCGGTGGCTGTCCAGCTCCAGTACCTCCAGTAGTGGTAGCTCTAGCACCTCCAGCACCAGAAGCACCTCTAGTACCTCCAGCTCCAGCACCTCCAGCACCAGCAGCAGTTCCAGTACCTCCAGCACCAGTAGTACCTCTAGTACCTCCAGTAGGACCTCCAGGCCTAGTAGCTCCAGTACCTCCAGCTCCAGGACCTCCAGAAGGACTCGCAGCACCCCCAGAGTCAGCACCCGAAGTCTCAGCACCCCCAGAGTCAGGAAACGACCCAGTGAAGCCCTGTGGACGGCGCAACCAGATGGCCTCGTGAAGGCTACCCTGCAAGAAAGCTGTCGAGAAGTCGAGGGAGTGCACCTCGTAGTCACGCTGAGCTGCAACGTGTAGCAACACCCGAAGAGTGGTCATCTTCGGGGTGGGGGAGAAGGTTTGAAAGAAGTCGACCCCCTCACGCTGACTGAAGCCTCGAGCAACGTAACGTGCCTTGAAGGCAGGCGGAGAACCCGGCGGCCGCTTCACCCTGAAAATCCACATGCCACTGACGATGTTCGCCCCAGGTGGGGGAACCTCGTCGAGGTAGGTGCCTGTGGACTTCCAGGAAGCCATCTCTGCGTCCATGGCTGTCTGCCACTGAGAGGAGTACTCACCCGAAATCGCCTCCCTGTAGGAGGGCGGGGTGGGGATGTCAAGTGCATCCGGGTCTCCCTCAGGGGCAAGCAGCATGCTCGCGTGATGGGGTGAAGCGGCAGCAAGGCACTCCAGCTCCTCCTGTCTGTCCTCAAGAACGTCACAGCCAAGGGCAGTACAGCCAAGAGCAGTCTCACCCCCGACGGACGGAGGACAGGCAGGGACAGGGTCAGAGACAAGACTCGCAAGGTAGTCTAGGCGGTACACAGCAGTAAATTCAACGAGCTTAGCTACTAGGGCAGACACAGCAGGAGACGAGAACGTAGGGTCCGTCATAACCGTAGCAAGAAGGCGAGTAACAGTCGGACTGGACGCACGAGCAAGGTCAGACGGAGGGTCAGCAACGTCAGGCAGAGAGGACGCAGGAGGTAACGGTAGTACAACACGCTGAGGAACAGAGGAAGGACGGAGTGTCATATCGTGAGTGCCGGGGACAGCCGGAGCACGCTGACGACGAACACGAGGAACACGAGCACGGACAGCAGCTCTAGGCTCAGGCTCAAGGTCAAAGCTAGACTCAGGCTCTCGACGCTCAGGGGTGGAAG